CTCCTCATTTTTTCAGAGAAAGGTACTGAGACAGAGAAGTTTAGAAATTTGCCCCAGATCACAGGTAAACAGGACTGGGATTCAAACCCAGGCCATCTGGCTCCAGAGCTGGAGTACCTAACCACCAAGTCACATGACTTCTAGCAGATGTGTTATCCACACTTGCTGAACAAAAAGCACAGAGCTGTGGGACATGCATCACAGAATCCAATTTTCAATACATGGACTTCCAGAACCCTTTCCCCCTATCACCATCCAAATCAACCACTCAGATACTCCAAATCCCAAAATAAAGTGTTGAAATCCATCCCATACTCCGCAAAGGCCAAGCAGAGTGCATACTTACTAGAGCCAGATATGTTCAGGTCTTTACATTCTTCAATATCGGAGTCACTGTCAAAATAGATTTTGATTTTGCCACTGTGCGCTTTATTATCGAAGGTGATCTGGAAACACAAGGAGATTGAGAGGTTATCGCTCAGCAGAAATTAAGACTCACTGGATCAACTCTGCTTTTAAAAGTAGGGGCATCTAAACTGTGCTGACCCAAAGAAAAATATACTGATAAAAATAAAATCATCCTTATCACATGATTTCTTCACAAGGTTCTATTAGTAATCCCAGGAACTAAAATATGAAGTCACCAATCTTTGACAAGAGAACACAATGACCCTCATTATTTAAAAAAAAAAAAAAGCATTTATTTTTATTTTTTTTAGTTTTTTTGTACTGAGGATTGAGCCTAGGGGTGCTTAACCACTAAGCCATATCCCCAGCTGTTTTTTATATTTTATTTTGTGATAAGATGTCACTAAGTTGTTTAGGGCCTCACTAAGTTGCTCAGACAGGCTTTGAACTTGTGATCTTCCTGCCTCGGCCTCCTGAGCCACTGAGATTATAGGCATACCCCAATGTGCCCAGTTACCCAGAATGGCATTTAAAAGCATTTGCTTCCATTCTGTCCTATGGGTATGAAATCCTAGGCTTTTATTAGACTGAAAATTCTTTTTCTATTTGCCTCAAGAGCTATATGCAGGGCTGGGGATGTGGCTCAAGTGGTAGCGTGCTCGCCTGGCATACGTGTGGCCCAGGTTCGATCCTCAGCACTACATACAAACAAAGATGTTGTGTCCGCTGAAAACTAAAAAATAAATATTAAAAAATTCTCTCTCTCTCTCTCTCTTTAAAAAAAAAAGAAAAGAGCTATATGCAATGTTTTCAGAAATTACAGACTTGTTCCAGGGCTTGAGGCTGAACTTAAAATGTCCTAATGCCCTCACTTTCCTCATTATAGAACCCAAGTCAGTCATTTAAATCATTCAAGGCTTATTCACGGTGCATGCTGAGGAGTTCTTAGGGTAAACACATTGAGATATCTAAAGAGCTGGGAGAGCTGAATGTGTAGGTGACCAAACCCACACGCCTGAGCATCCCTGAACACAAACCAAGTTCTGTGTAATCCAGAACATCACTGAGACCATTCAGAGCTCGAGAGATAACTCAGACCAGCCCACTTCCCAACTATGAGCTATGATGGCTTCCAAAATTACTTCCCTAAATTACTTCCCTCAAGCCTTTGGAAACTTGAGCAAAGTCCAAAGAACTAAACAAAAATGTAAAGCCAATGTTTTGATCCCCCCATTGCTGCTCATGTCATGACAAAGTCATATGTGACCCATCCTGGCAGGCCCTGCTCCTCCCTGATTCTCTCTTGCCTCTGTCCTTGTCCTCTAGAGGATCCCAGGGAGGCCCTGCCCACTCAGCTCAGGGCGATAACCATTATCTTCTTGTCCAGAACCAACCCTCCTTACCACATGCTGAATGTGTCTCCCTCAAAATCCACATGTTGGAAAGTTCATCCCCAGGGCAACAGTGATGGGGAGGGGACCTAATAGGAGGTGACTAGGTTATGAGGGCTCTGTCCCCATGAATGGATTCATGTCATTACTGTGGGGGCAGGTAGTTGCCCCTAAAGCGGCCCCTCTTGCTCTCTCATGTGCTCTCTCACCGTGTGCTGCCTTCCACCATGTCATGATAGCAAGAAGGCCCTTGCCAGATGCAGCCCCGCCAGCTTGGATTTCTTAGTCTCCCAAACTATCAGCCAAATAAACCTCTATTTACAAATTACCCAGTCTGTGGAGAAAATGGGGGAAGATACAAAACAAGGCAATTTATAATGACTTATCTATTGACTTATCTTTCTGTCTGCTCTCTCCTCTATAAACTTGGTGGGGCGGGGCACGTGCCTGGAGGGCATAGCACAATGCCTGGTGCATAGTAGGGACTCATAGTATTTATTAATTGTAGGGTTTGAAAATACTTGATAGGACATTCACAGAGATCT